TTTTTTTTTAAAGATTTTATTTATTTATTTGACAGAGAGAGACACAGCGAGAGAGGGAACACAAGCAGGGGGAGTGGGAGAGGGAGAAACAGGCTCCGCGCTGAGCAGGGACGATGTAGGGCTCGATCCCAGGATCCTGAGATCATGACCTGAGCCGAAGGCAGACGCTTAATGACTGAGCCACCCAGGCGCCCCAGCAACTTGTAGTTTGAATACTGTTTAAAAAGAGGAAAAATAACTAAAAAAATTAAACAAAATCTAGAATCTAATTTGAAATTATCAATTCCTTATCGAGAGGAATTTGTTAAATTGTACATCAGCAGTTCATTACTTTCATTACTCTGTCAGCACGTTGTAGCAATGACTAGAGAATGGATGTTGTTGATGAGGGTGTCTGCCGACTATTGGGCATTTAAAAAAAGGAAGACTGCCTAAAGAATAGAAATTTGGCTTCATATGTTAGAAAATGTTTCCAGTGTACCAAATAACTTTATGATATACTGTACACAGCTAGACAAACTCTTAAAAAGTCAATTGGAGGATACAAAACCCACATAACTAGTTTGTGTGCTGTTATAAATTATGAATTAAATATTTAATTTTTTCCTACAAATATCAAGAATGTACTTTTTGAGCTTTGAGTCTGTTAAACACTCTAGTTAGGCTTTATTTAATCGAATCAACTCTTGTTTATCTAGAGCATCTCTTATATATTGACTAATTTCCTTTTTAAAACATATTTAGAGGCACCTGGGTGGCTCAGTCGGTTAAGTCTGTCTTCGGCTCAGCTCATGATCCCGGAGTCCCAGGATCAAGCCTCACATTGGGCTCCCTGCTCAGAGGGGTGTCTGCTTCTCCCTCTCCCCCTGCTTGTGCTCTCTCTCTCTCAAATAAATAAAATCTTTAAAAAAAAAAAAGATTGAACAGAAAAATGCCTGGTTAATTGCAAGATAATAATTTCCCCACCCTAGTGGTTAATGTTAACTTTCAGCAACCTTTCTTTTGGATAGCATACAATCAGCATAAAGAGTACTTTCTTACTTTTAATTTTTAGCTGTCTTTTAAAAGAAGCATTAATCATTATATGTATTTGGGGTGAATCTTTTTTTAATTGAGGGCATAAAAAAGCAGAAGGGAGAGATACATATATATATTTATATATATTGTGTGTGTGTGTATATATATATATATATATATGTTTGATTCTAACTGTGTTTTTAAATGCTCATTGGCTTCCGAAAATGATTTAAGCTGATTGGTTGATGAATGATGCTTCCTTTTTCAATTTTCTGAGTTTTAAAAATGTTCTAAATTAGAAATATAATTTTAAAAAAGTGGTTGTTTTTGAGAAATCAGATGTAGAGTCTTATTTTGTTTGACCAGCATTGTCAATTTTTTAAAGCAATGATACTTGTTCCACATTAGTTTCTTTCAAAGTTAAACATTATTAACTGTTTTATATAATGTGGAATTGTGTTCTTGCACACACACCCAAACTGGTGTCATTCTTTTTGCTTTACAGGACCCATCTAGAACGGTTTCAGGCAGATATAAAAGGTAAGACTCCCTAAGTTTTAACTTACAGCATATTACAAACATGACTGTAATATCTGTCTGACCGTGGCCTAACTAGAACTGTTTCAAACAGCTTGTTGAAAAATGAGAAACCTTAATATTGTGCTATTAAGAAGAAATTACATTGTGGGTGGGAGTATAGTAATGTCTCTCTGATCATGACTGATTCTGACATACCCTGCTGTTTTTGAAAACTGTGCATACCATGAATTTGTATGGAACTGATGAAATTAGCAAAATAGAAACTTAGAATCATTTTCCCTTATGTATTTGAACATTGAAAATATAAATATACTACTTTTATTAGTCAACTTAGGCTGCCATAACAAAACACCATAGAAAGGGATGGCTTAAACAGAAATTACTTTTTTCACCGTTCTGGAGGCTGGAAGTCAGCGATTAGAGAGCCACCAAGATCAGGTTCTGGTGAAGGCCATCTTCAGGGTTGCAGACTAACAACTTCTTGCTCTGTCCTTACTGTGGTATGGAAGGGGCCAAAGAACTCTCTCAGATTGCTTTTATCAGAGCACTAATTCCATCCATGAGGACTCTACGTTTGTGACCTAAGCATCTCTGAAAGACCTCTGAAAGGCTCCACCTCCCAATACTACTACATTGAACATGAGGATTGCAACATACGAATTTTGGGAGGATGCAGAACATTCAGACCATACCAAGTCTTCTACGCTATGAGCAATGCTTTTACCAGAAAACATGCTTGAGAGTATGTATGTACATCTATAAGAAGAAAATCAGAATTAGATATGAGAAGTTGTTTAATGGAGATGCTTGGGCTATCAGCTTCCTTTTTCCCTGGTGACATCATAAAGGTTACAGCTGATGTGGTCATACATGTGCTAATAATCATAGAATAATGGTAAACCTTATCAAGTGCTTATAATGTCCAAGGTGCTTTATAGAGCAATCTCAGTTCTCGCAGTTATCTTAAAGGTAGGTACAATAGGTACAATGTTTACTTTCATTTTGTAGATGAGAGAAGTGGGGCTTAAGAGGTAGAATAATTTCACTAGGGAACAAGGCTAGTTAGTCATTAGTAGAGTCAAGATTTGAACTCAGACAGCCTGACTCCAGAATACACATGCTTGCACCATCTACCAAAATTTATTGGTTAAGTTTATAGTGCATTGTTTAAAATAAAGTTTTTTTAAAAAGGCAAGACAGGTTATTAGATGTGTGCTTGTAGATACCCTACTCAATGTGGTATCTAAATAAAACTGTCATACACTTTAAAAAAAAAAAAAAGGCAAGACATGACTTGCAAAGGGCAGGATTAACCTGGGTATATAATTTACCATACCTATAAAACCTTTGATTTCCTCTATTTGTATGTTAAAGTTTGAAGTGTTTGGTTGAAAGTTTTGATTATTATATTCCATCTAAAATAAAACATTGATTAAGAGGAGCTCTAATTTTAATACTATTACATGTAAATCTCAATTTTTAATTTTTACTATGGGCCATAATATCTACTACAAGTAGAAAAAGGTAAGAAGGCCAAAATAATCAACAATTGAGTAAGAAAGCGAAACTGTCTCAGGTGAACTTAGTGTGTTTGCTACTGCTTCTGTTTTAATTTTCATTTCTGAGTAATTTTGATTTAGGTATAATGAAACCTGTGATTCTTTTAAGTGTCTAACAGTTATACATTGCTTAATAATTTTTACTTAACATGAATAGCTTAAATTGGAAAGAATCTCTTTTCTTTTGCCAGAAATTATTGCCAGTCAAATAGCTTTGATTGGCTTATTTCCATGCCACATGCACAAACCAAAAAAAATTTTTATCATTAGTTTTTGGTTTGGGGATAAAGATAAATTTCAGTAACTTAATAAATGTATAAATATTTACTTATTAAATAGTAAACCTTGAATTATAATTGACACTTTTCAGATTAGTGTTCTTTAAGTAGAATCAACAGGGAATAATTTTCTTATAAATACTCATCAAAAGCTTCATTTACATTTCATTGTGTTAAATCAGAAAGAAGATTGGTTTTCCATCATGTATGTTTCTCTTTTTAAGCTTTTCAGACCACTGTTTTGCTTGGGACCTGTTCCTACACTGGTACTTTTTTAATTTTCATGACCTAGAGCATGTTTTGTTAATTTTCAGCTTTCAAAGGTTTAGCCCTGTTTACTACTGCTATAAAATAAACATTTTTTAAAGCTTCTAGTCATTATTCACTGACTTACAGCAACTCGTAGTTTTTTTTTTTTTTTAAAGATTTTATTTATTTATTTGACAGAGAGAGACACAGCGAGAGAGGGAACACAAGCAGGGGGAGTGGGAGAGGGAGAAGCAGGCTTCCCACCGAGGCAGGGAGCCCGATGCGGGGCTCGATCCCAGGACCCTGGGATCATGACCTGAGCCGAAGGCAGACGCTTAACAACTGAGCCACCCAGGCGCCCCTTATTTTTTGTTTTTAAAGATTTATTTGAGAGAGAGAGGGTGCGTGCCGCCAGTGAGTGGGGGGAGGGGCAGAGGGAGAGAGAGAGAAGCAGACTCCCCACTGAGCTTGTCAAGGGCCTTGATCTCAAGGTCAGTTAGATCATAATCTTGACAGGAGCTGGAACTGAAATTAAGAGTCTGAAGCTTAACTGAGTGAGCCACCCAGGCACTACAAGGTTTTGCTTTTATAAAGAGCATGGACATATCAGAATATGAATGTTAGAATAAATACTATCTTAGCTAAAACATAGGTGCAAAATCCTATTTCAAATTTGTAGTGTTTCATGTTATTGTACTTCTTTCTATAACTATAATGTGTGTACCTTCACCAGGACTTTTCTTCCCTTATAATTTTTTGCAGTTACTAAAAACGATCAGGGTAGAATTTTTATACAATTTAAAAATTGTTTTCTTTTTTTTAAAGGCAGTCCTCACTATTGAAGATTTGAATTAGAAAAGCCCACTCATAACCCTACCATCCAAGTTAGTCATTATTAACATTATTTTTATTTTCTACTTCCACTTTATTTTTTAGGCTTATTTGTATGACGGTGAGCATGATGGAGAATGATTTTGCATTCTGGTTTGCTCCTTAGTTAATGTAACACAAGTATCTTCAACTTTTAAGTTTTAAAGAGAATGGCTACTATCAACAGAGCAGTCTCTTTCTCCCTTTCAATGAAGTACAGCATAAATATAACAGAGACACTCATTATAACTGCTTTGGGGACCCATAATTTCTTTATTTTTTATTTATTTAAGTAATTTCTACACCCAACATGGGCCTGAGATCAAGAGTTGTATGCTATTCTGACTGAGCCAGCCAGGTGCTCCCCAATTCTTTATTAGGACAAAACGTGACTACAGTTCTTTTCCTTAAGAGCCAGCGTTCTCTTCCAGTCAGTTCTGCTATAATACATGTTTTTGGAAACTCGAATTTGTCCCAGTGGATATATTAGGGAACAATTTGACCATAACACAAATTTTGTGTTTGCTTATACCCAGTTTTGTTCATCAGAAACACTAGGTAAGGGGCGCCTGGGTGGCTCAGTCATTAGGCGTCTGCCTTTGGCTCAGGGTCCTGGGATCAGGCCCCACATTGGGCTCCCTGTGCAGCGGGGAGCCTGCTTCTCCCTCTCCCACTCCCCCTGCTTGTGTTCCCTCTCTCGCTGTGTCTCTGTCAAATAAATAAAATCTTTAAAAAAAAAAAAAAAAGAAACACTAGGTAAACACAGAAAACTGTACCCAGCTCAACTGAACCATGTAGGAAGACACAAAACACACACCTCAAACATCTACCAGCTGACTTTAGTGTGAGCCACAGCCATTCATTCACATATCTGGTATCACAACTTCCCATTTGATTTCAGATTACTCTCCTTTTTACACTTCTTGTGGAAAAAAGGGATCACTTTTAAAAGATACTGTATCTTCAGATTCTTTTTTTTTTTTAGATTTATTTATTTATTTATGAGAGAGAGAGAGAGAGAGCCAGAGCAGGAACACAAGCAGGGGGAGTGGCAGAGGGAGAAGCAGGCTTCCCGCTGAGCAGGGAGCTGAGCAAGGAGCCCCATGCTGGGCTCGATCCCAGGACCCCGGGACCATGACCTGAGCCGAAGGCAGATGCTTAACAACTGAGCCATCCAGGCGCTCCACTTCAGATTATTTCTGTCTCAGATATTATCTCACATCTGTTGTTTTGAACTACCAAACAAAGAAGTTCAAACCTTTTTAGTTGTCACTGGGTTCTTAGGATCTTTCATAGGAAATTACATAGAACCTTTATTTAAGTTTAGAAGGTGAATAATTTATTCAGAAAATTTTCATGCAAAGAATTAAGATGTTGCACCTTTTTTCTAAATGGCACTTTCTTTATAACCATTGTTTTAAAACCAGGAGTTCTTGTTTGCACATGTGTTTTGAGAACCACTGAGTCACAAGAAATTTCTTTGGTTTGTTGTTTAGGGATCAAACCAAAACAATCAGCCAAATTGTTTAAAGGTGAGAATTACAGACTAAAGACCAAATGTATCTTCCATTAACTGAAGAGAAACCAGGATTCTTGGACTATATGTGTTTTCTAAGGAAATAGATTCCTTCTCAAAATGTCTTATTTTTGTATTAATATATTCTGTATTTTACCAAATGCTGTAAGGCAGACAGCAGCTATACGTTCTAGCTGTGGTTTTTCTGGTTAATGGATATTAGAAATGGACGTGAATATCAAAAAATGATAATTTAAAAGTAATTGAGATACTGGTACATTTTGTGGACCTAATGGTTCCCTTGTGGATCTGTGACTTTTTATCTATGCTGTAAATATTATTAGCTAAGATTTATATAGTATTTATTATGTACCATACACTATTCAAAGTACTTTCCTTATCCATTAATTCAGTTAATTCTCCTGGTAGGTAGCCTTATGAGGGAGATGTTTTATTATCCCCATTTTACAAATGAGCAAACTGAGGCACAGTGAAATTTAATGACTTGTGTGAGATCAAACATATTAA